TGGCATGGTTAATTGAATTGATGTTAGATTGAAATGAATCAATCAATTAATTGACAACTTTATTGTAATACAAATTATTGGCTCAGATTTATTTTGTAAAAACATAAATCTGAGCCAATCTCAAAGTCGAATCTCAAAGTGTAATGACATGTTAGAAATTATATCACACAATGTTGACATGAGAGATAAATGGCAAATTTTGGATCTGATTGAGAATAATCTTTGAATTGACTAGTTTCGTTGAATAGTTCAGGTTTCTCCACCATTAATCGGCAATGTAATCAGATTTGATCTGATAAATATCTATGGATAAATTTCAATTATAAATTGAATAATTTGTGTGTGCTGTTTCGAATAGAGTTGGCAACACGACCCTATCCACAACAATGGGTAATTAAGGTTTAGAATTCGGCTTGATTCCTCTGATTTCCTTGATTATTCTTTCTTTCCAGAGTGTTATTCTTCACAACTATTAGAAATACTGTGTAATGTCATAAATAGATATTTTAAGGCATCAAGTTGAAACGTTCCAAATAAATTGATGCTGAAACAAAGATTTCAATAATTTAATCATAATCTCTACAAACACACATAATGAAGCAAACAACAGACAAAGCAATGCATAGAATTATAATACCCAGTCCATAGGTAATGGAAAAGATCGCAACGAATGGGAAAATGGATTGGAGAATGAACGAGTCCAAAACAGCTGCCACAAATGGAGCTGTAATTAAGAGAGGACTGATAACGAGTGCTACAACAAATCCAAAACCTGAAGCTGACAATAATGCTGACCACCAACTGTCAGATCCCATTACCATGGCAAAAAAGGCAGTGAAGAAAAATCCCATTGGGAAGCACAATAACGAAACATATCCTGGAATGAACACTATTGAGAATGGAATATTGAGTGCATATTCTAAGCCATCAATTTTAGCAAAGAGTAATATGAGGAATACCTGCAGGGAAAGTAACATGGTTCCATAGAAGAATGAAGAAATAAAGAATGCTGCTCGCTCCTTATCACTACCTTTTAACCTTTGAGGGTGTTATTTCACACAAACAAAGAAAAACTTACGTTGATCCTAAAGTTGGTGCACTGCAAAAGAAAGACATCATGGCCAACACGTACCCTGGAATGGCAATATAGCTCAATATTGGTTGCTCCGCATAGACTGCATATTTCAGACCTGCAACAAGGAAAATGTATGGAAGCCAAGTCCATGTTGAAGAGAAGAGAATGAACATTTCACCTCCATGATCCATTCTTTCCTCACCATTCAACTGTCTCTTACTCCAAATAGGATAGAAATCAAATCTGTGTGAGTGATGGAATAACATTATGTAAAAGTAAGGAATTGTGATAACACCAAGACTCAACCATGAAATCAACCAATAGTAGGTGCCAATATCGTTTGGAATAAACTCGTCCATAGAAAGTGGGACTAATATAAGTCCTATAATGGCTGAAATTGCCAGTACCACTAAAAATCCAATCCAAGATCTGTATACATGCTCTCCAAATTCATATCCAACATTTTGTCGTTCATTAAATTTGCTATCTCGTATTTTCTTTTCTATTATATCAACTCTTTCTCTAATCAATTTTTGTTTTCTGTATTTAGCATACTTTTGTTTGAATGGTGGTCTTCCATCCTCTAATTCTATTATTGGTGACTCTTCTGTCACTTCTTTTTCTGTGGTAACATATGGTGGTTGCTTAATTTTTGTGTAAAATAAATTATCTAATCTCCAAAGTTTCCAATTCCCGTAATGTGTTTGATTTTTTGTAAAGGTGTTATATCTTTCCATTTCGTAATTGTCAATCAATCCAGCTTTTCCTTTTTCTTGTTTAGTAGTCCAAAAATAATCAGAGCCTGATACCTTATTGAAATATTGATTTACAGAGGACGAAACCAGAACATCTTTTCTTCCCAAATATTCAAAAACCTATGTAAAGTGTCAACCAAATTTTGATGAATTAAAACTTACATGTTCAAGAGTATCATAAGGAAGTTGATTAATGGTGGTTACAGATCTTCCTTCCTTTTGTAATGCCTCTTTACCCTCTTCCGTTATTGGTTTTGTTGGATTTTTGTCCCATGGTAAATTAGGATCTGAAATGTATCTTGCAGTATGAATAACATTAGGTGTTCCTGAATTTGTTCCTCTGATATTCTGCAATGCACATTCAACATCACCACCTCCAACATCAAGCAGAATAGATAGCGTTTCATCAGTTGCATTTTCATATTCGGTAAATCCACCCATTTTCAATCTCTTTCTCAAAACATCCTTTGTGAATTGTGAATATTTACCAGTGTCCTCAGAATCACTATCGGATAGAGTACTCTGCACAGTCTTCTTGACATACTGTTGCATGATATAATCAGCTGAAGATTGCACATTATTTTCATGTTCTGCCAATACTTGTGCAAGTTGATGATCTGAATATTCCTTCAAAAGTTCTGCATCGTTCAATTTTAACTTTAACACTCTCAACTTCATTTGAACAGCGATAGGAATTTGTTCCACTTCCAATACTGGTGGTTCTGGAATTCTTACACCAGAATCTTCCATTATAATTTCAATAGAATCATCAGCAATCGGATGTTGATTTTCAACCACAACTAGGTTATCCGTCTTGCTCTTCTCCTCATCATCAACAATAATAATACTATCACTATTATTAAGAGTAGAAGAAGAAGGAATTTTCTTACTCTTCTTATATTCCTCTTTAATTTGTTGAACATTCACCCTAGAACTTGGTCTCATTCCACTCACCATCTCAAAGCTCGCAATCAAATCCCTCTCATCATTCATCATGATCATTTGTTCAAGAGTTTCAACATTAACATCCCTAAAGGCATTTTCATTCTCGGCGATCAACATGAGCCTAAGAATCTGTGCCAAATCATGTAATTCTGATGTGGATTCATCCGATGATGATGATCCATTCTTGTTGTTCTTCGTGTCGTTATCGCCTCCAAAATCATCACCAATAACAATTCGCGTGGTGGATGATGAAGACATTTTTTTTTTAAGTTCTTTGCAATTTCCAAGTTCATTAGCTAGAAATTGCTTCGTTCTAGAAGTGAAAATGTTAAACAATTCAGAATTGGGATGAGATCTTGGAAAATTATTATAAAGGTATTGAAGATTTTTGGGTGGGATATGTGATTCACAACGGATACATCTACAGTGAGCATTCCAAATGATTTCAAAGAGTGGTTTTATTGAATGAATGGACTTTGGCAAATGACATCTTTGAAATTATGGCTAATGAATGGCATGTACAGACAATTAGAATTTATGTATTACCCTTTTCATGTCCTACAGTGATGAAAGCATTCCAAGCATGGTTGCGAATAAAATTAAGGCAAGGGAAAAGAATGAATTTAGATGGAAAGTAGAGGAAGAGTTTGCTCTTGTGCTATTTCCTCCAGTAATTCCTCCATTATTTCCACCACCTCCACCACCACCTCCAGTATTTGACTTACATGTGTATTTAACACCACCGTAACCACAAATATTCAAGTTAGCACTCAAGTCAAATTGTGCAAGGAGTTGTGAACAGGAGGAATCATTGAACTTTCTTAATGTTTTACATCCATCTGATTTGATATAAATTTGAGGAAAAACTGTTGTTGAATTATTCTCCTGTGGTGAGTATGGAGAACATGAGTCAATTGGATAAACTTCTAGTTTCAATAAGGATTTCTGTAAGGTGCAGAGAGATTGATCTGAATAGGTAGTTATGTGAAAAGTACCAGTTGCTGGATCAGTTGGGATAGAAGTTGTACAATCCTTTCTTTGGTAAATTCCATTTGAACCACCTTGACAATTGACACTTTCACATGAATTATTTACACTAGGTCTATAAACTTGACCACTAACTCCATTCAAGCAAGAAGATCCTCCTTGAACACTTCCATTATAAAACATCAATCTTTCATATTGTTGTAGAACTGGAGTTGGAGGATTTGGAGTTGGAGAAGGTTGAGGTAAACTTCCTCCAATAATTTGCATGAAATATCCAGTCAAACACTTGTTCAATTCAAACGACAGGGAATACATCTTTTTTGTACACTGACTATCAGAATAGTATGTCATTTCAGTACTTCCAATGAAAACATAAAAACTCGACCCAAAATTTTGCACACACTTATTGATAGGAGTGATTTGGACTGAATTCGGTTTACCAACGCACATTCCAGTTGTGTTCTTCCATAAATAGGCATTGAATGTGTTTGATAATGCCACAGTTGGAACCTCTGCAGCACATTCATATTTGAAATAGATTGTAGTGTTGTCTGCTTGATGAAGGGTGGCACATTTGTCTGCTGGAGTTGTGTAGGTACATACAGATGGGGAAGCAACGTAGAAAGTGGCATATTCAACTCCTGTGCAATTTTCAGAGGTGTAATAAACTGTCTTGCTTACATATTGTTGGCAGTTGACCACAGCTTGATAGAAAAAGAGAGTGATCAAGCAACAAGTGGCAATGGAAACAAGTTTCACCATTTTTTTAAAGTGAAAAACGAAAGGAACAGACCAGCTCTACACAATGAAAGCTGATGGTTAATTTATCCATGCAAAAAGATTATAACCAAGATCTGCTATATTTTCAGAGAGAATTAAGCAAATTGTTTAAAATCCTCCTTCTTGGATCAACTTTCTATTCTTGGCACACTACTGGATATCTATTCTGCTTCTCACCAATATGCAATGAACTTGTGCATTATAAAAATACCCTTAAAAAAATTCTCAAAGCCTCATCATGACTCTCGCATTGGGGAAAATTCAAGGTGTACTTCTCCTTGGAGTGCTTTCATTGTTGTTGGTAGGCTTGGTGAATGGTGGTACTTCATTCAAGTGTACCGGACCAGAATCGTGTAACGGAAGAGGATTCTGTAATCCAGAAGGGAATAGTTGTCGGTGCCTTACTACTCTTTCATATGGAGCAAACTCTAATACAAAGCTAGCTAATGGCACTGCACAATACTATTGGTTGCAAAGTGATGAACCAATGTACTATGAAAGAGATGGTGTTTCTTGGCTCTCAAGAATCACTGCAGACAATCAAATCGTTATGATTAAAGTGAAAGAAAACAACATCCACACTCAACATTTAAGAATAGGTCAAAACTTACTAACTCTCAAACCTGATGGCTCCGTTGCAGTGTGTGGTTTAACAAATGATAATTCGCTGGATGTGAATAATTGTTCTCCACTTGTCAATAAGGATGGCAACACTTCAATTCCATGTGAAGGAGTTGCTCCATTCTATTCCTTCTTCAGAAAGGATGCCTTATTTACAGTCTATGATTCCACAGGTAAGGAATGTTGGTCAACAGGATTCTTTGATTCGTCCATCCAATGGCAAGATTTTAATGGAACAACATGTGAAGAACCATTACATTATTGCGATAACATTGTTAGTACTGATCCAACTGTTTGTAATGGAAGAGGAATATGTACAGAAAGTGGTTGTAAATGTAACTCACCAGAAGTATGGGGAGGCTCTGATTGTTCAAAACATGTTTGTTTTGGATATGATGCAAGCAATTCTAAGGTATGCAATGGAAAAGGCACTTGTGTTGCAACGAATAATTGTACTTGTACTGGAGGTCACTATCCTGATTGCCATTTTTCATGTTTCAATGTTTCTGAATCCGATCCGAATGTTTGTAGTGGCGCTGGAAAATGTACTGCTGATGACACGTGTGATTGTATCAATTTGAGCTACACTGGTTCGAATTGTGAAATATATGACTTTGTTTGTGAAAGTGCCAAGTCATGCCACTATCGTGGTTCTTGTCTCAATAGTTCTTTATGTAGTTGCACAAATGATCAAATGATTGTTGCGAATGGAGACCATCATATTAATTTTGATAGCAATACAAATCTATACCTTACATCATCAAATGGTAACTGCACTTTGGGTGTTGAGTATTATCTTAATGAAAACAATGACACCAGCACTAGAGTTGTCTCTAAATGTGGTGGAAAGGAATTGTGGAGAATTTTAGAAGGGGAGTTTACTCCCATTGAATATTTTTGGATAACACGTGAAGGCTATTTCTTCACTACCACTTTCGATAGTAGTATTTTGAACCTTGAAAACGATTTTTGTCATGGTGTGGGTGCAAACACCCCACCAATGTTTAACTTTGGAAATGATGGTACTTTTAGGATTTATAACTCTAAGGGAGCAGTTGTCTTCTCAATTGGTACTTCATCAGAACCACGAACTACATTGGCATATGGACAAGAATGTCAATTCACTCACTATGTTTGTAATGGATTGTTGGAAACAGAGGACAATGTTTGTTCTGGAAATGGTCAATGTATAGGCCTTAATCAATGTTTATGCAAAGCTGGTTACAATGGAACTTTTTGTGAAAATGAAGCTATTTGTAATGACATTCCCCAATCATCAAAACTTGCTTGTTCAGGAAATGGTAATTGCACTTTTTCTGGTTGCTCATGTAAGGCATCTTTCTATGGAAGCGATTGTTCATCAAGTTATTATGTATGTAATGGAACACGTTCCTATGATTCTTTTGTTTGTAACTCTCATGGTAATTGTACCACTGATAACGTTTGCGTTTGTGGACAGGGATATAATGGAACTTTCTGTGAATTGAAACTTTTAGAACCTTCTGTCAATACTGACACAGTTGCCAATGCTTCAACAACCAGCAACACAACCAATACAAGTAATACCACTTTATCCAATAACACAACAACTACTAACAACACGAATATTGATCCATCAAGTCCAAGCTCCACTAATATTACTAACCACAATAGTACTAGTAGCAACAATACTCAAGGAAATAATGGAACTAGTTTTGATAGCTCCCATGGAAAAAATACTACATTATCCAATGACACAGCCACAAACAACACAAGCAGGGATCCAACAAGCCCAAACTCCTCTAATATTACTGATTATAATAGTACAAGTAACAGTACTCAAACTTACAATGGAACCAGTCCTGATAGTTCCTCAAATTCGACAACCTCAAATTCAACTCTCCCAAGTTCCAATAATAATACTATTCCATCAAATGATACAAGCACAAACAACACCTCCACTCAAAATAAGTGTAAAGATATTGTATGTGTACATGGAAAATGTATTGAGGGTGTTTGTAATTGTGACTCTGGTTACATTGGAACATTGTGTGATCAATCAGATGTAGTCAAAAATCAAACAGATCTTTGTTTTAGCATAAAATGTTATAATGGAACTTGTTTGGAAGGAAAATGCTCTTGTGACACAGGATACACTGGGACTATGTGCCAAGACTTGGTGATTGTAAATGACACTGAAACAGATTCATGTAATAACCAATGTGTTAATGGAACTTGTCTTGCCGGAAAATGTATTTGTCAGTCCACACCAGATTACTTTTATTATGGTCCAACCTGTTCAAAATATGCTGCTGTCACTTGTTACACTGGCATGCAAGCCGCAAACACACCTTTTTGTGTAGCTGCTGGTGTTGAACACTATATAATGCAGTACTTGTCACAAGACGGATATAATCTGTTAGCAAATTATACAGGTGAGGTTGCAGTACCACAGGTCAGAATTGCTGCTCTCAAAGTTTTGGATCAGTCATCTCGTACAATGGCCGAACAACTCATGATTGCATGTACCACAGAAGCTTGTCGTCTGGTCTACAAGAGATATTCTTGCTATTCACATTTCCCAATGTGCTCTTGGGTTACTGAACTTGTTAAAGGAGTATACAATCCAATCTGTAAAAGTGCATGCGAAACTATGTTGATGCCTTATTTAGTTGGAAATAACTCTCTGGAAACTTTGTGTGGTTCTTTGAATGACAATGAGGGTTGCTCATCAGAGATTAATTATGTTGATCAATGCTATGATGTTTCCTGTTCTGACCACGGTACTTGTAAGAATGGAAGATGCATATGTGATTCTGGATATGAAGGTAACAATTGTGAAAAGACCTCCTTCTCACTTACTCCAGCTTGTATCAATGAAATGTCTTCCTCTTCTACTCCATTCTGTTATGCTGCTGACGTCATTTTACCATTGTACAATTTGAATTTAATGTCAGGAGCAAAGAGTGCAGGTGAAGCCTCTATTTTCCTTGCTGCAAATCTTGCTAAATTGGATGCTCAAGCTAATTCAACATTCCAAATGGGATCATTGTACAATCCTAACTGCGTTACTGCCGATTGTTTGATTCATATCAAAAGAAATGCATGTTACAGAACTTTCATGTCGTGCAAAAACACCACAGCCAATTCTGTTCCATTCTGTAGAGCTGCCTGTGAAGTAATGTACGACCAAGCCAGTGCTTTCTGGTCATTACCAAAGAATGAGTCATGTAGCTATTTCCCAGAATCAAGTTGTCATTATGGACTTTATCTTCCAGACACCACTACTTGCTTTGGAAAATTGGCAAAAGCCTATGATGTTTGCTCTGGTAAGGGTTCTTGTATTTCTCAAGATGTTTGTCGTTGTGTAACTGGTTATGATGGAACTAATTGTGAAAAACCAGTATGTTTCTCAAAGACTAATAGTGATGCATCTGTATGTTCTGGAAAGGGTTCATGTGTTGCCCCAGATACTTGCATTTGTAAATCTGGCTCAACAGGTGCTAAATGTGATAATCCAACATGTAATGGTAAGAGTGAAATTTTGGGAGGATGTTCTTTGCGTGGTGCATGTAATGCCACTGATACATGTATTTGTAAGGGTAATTTTGATCCTTCTACATTCTGTTTATCTTGTAAGACTGGTTATATGGGATCCAAGTGTGACATACCTGTTTGTTATAATACTCCTGCAACTGATAGTTCTGTGTGTGGTAGCAGAGGTGAATGTACTGCTCCTAATAATTGTTCATGTAGGTCTGGATACTCTGGATCAATTTGTCAAAGCTTTTCCTGTTACGGTATTCCAAAGAGTGACAGCAATGTTTGTGGTGGAAGCACTAGAGGAAAATGTATTGCTCCAAATACATGTGAATGTGTTGCCAATTGGAATAATAAGAATAATACCTGCACTAGCTGCAGTCCAGCATATTCAGGAGAAACTTGCTCAACTGCAATGTGTTCACCAACAGAAACTTGTAACTCTCATGGTTCTTGTGATTCCAATTTCAAATGTGTTTGTAATGGAAATTTTGATGGAGAATTTTGTTCTTCTTGCAAGAGTGGATTTGTTGGAGATAAATGTGATATTGCTTGTTCTGCTGCAACCACTTGTAATTCACATGGTACCTGCACAAAGACGGGTACATGTTATTGTACAGGTAATTATGACCCTGCTTTCAATTGTATCCCTGGAAAATGTTTGAATGGGTTCAGAGGTGACGCTTGTAATTATAAGGTTGATACCACTTCCTTCAAATTCAATGCCAATGGAGATAGAATCACTGCAAAAATTTACAACACTGTGAAAAAACAAGTTCCTTGCTCTCAAATAATTTCCAATTTGGATAAGCTTGGTTCTGGTCCACAATGTAATATGGATGGAAAATCATCCCTAGAAATTGTTTTAGGAGCTGGAGCCTCAATAGTTACTGGTAATATATTGAGTGTCTATTCCCTTATGGGAGATAATAATTCGACCCTTGCAGTTTCTATTGATGCTGGTGAATTTGTTGCTATTGCTCCAACTGCTTCTTTGACTTCTGACAAGACATTAGTATCTCAATGTGACGTATTATCATTGAACGCTTTTGATTCCGTTTCATTGGATCGTCGCCCTCTTACATTCTCTTGGACTTGTACTAATGGGCCTTCCTCTGAAGACCAAAGCAAGTTGTCCAGCCTCATTTCTTCTCAAAAGAGTGGATATAAAATTAATATGAGAACTGCTGGACTATCTGCTGGAATCTACTCAATTCAGGTAGCTGTTTCGAGTGCATTCGGATTAACTTCTTTCAAGTCTATCTCTTTCACAGTAATTGCCAAGGCTGCACCAACACTCAGTGTTAAGGAAGGACTTTCAATCAAGTATTTGATTGGATCAATTGGTTTGATTACTCCTGTAATTTCCTTCCCTGTGTGTTACAATGGCACTGGTTCAACAACTTATACGTTTACCCTTGATGGAAGTGTTTCTAAGGTTTCATCATTGTCAACTTCTGTCAATAACAACATGATGATTCTTGGATCTGGTTATACCAATATTAACTTGGAAGGAGACTATTTCTTTGTAATTAAGGCCACTGCTGATGTAGCAGAACCAGTAACTACCACTGTTAAAGTTACAGCTGAGGCTCAACCAATCTTGGTTTCTTTCAGTGTTCCAGATATTACTCAATCAAAGGATGACCCAATCGAATTCTCTATCAGTGTAAAGGATCCTAGTAATACGCAAGATGTGTTGTCTCTCTCCACAAATTGTGTGGATTCTACTGGATTAAATTGTCCAAGCAGTCCTGAAGATGCTTCTACATTTAGGGCCTCTTTCTCTTCTGGTACTTACACATTTACAGCTGTTGCAACTAAGGGTTCCAGAAAGGCCAAGGCCACCTTGACTATTTCTCTAATTGATAGTGCCAAGGATAAGATTATTAGAGTTTCTATTATTTCAAATGTTGACTTGACAACTGTGGATCCAACAAAGGATTTGTATCTCACATACAATACTTTGGACAAATTATTATCACCAAGTTTCTCCTGGGTGTCTGAAACTGGTGACGAATCCAAGGCATCACTTCTCACAATTCCAAGTGCTAACCTTGTATCAGGTGCTTCCTATGTTGTTACACTCCTTGTTGATGATGGAGATAAATCTGGTATTGCCTCTCTGACCTTCACTGTAAATTCTCCACCTACAAAGGGAACATTTGAAGTTTATCCAGAAATTGGTGTTGCTTTGAGTGATTCATTCGATTTGAAGTGTGGTAATGGTTGGTCTGATCCTCAAACTCCTTTGAAATTCCAATTCTTCTACTATGATTCTGCTTCCACTAAATGGAATTCCTTTACTGAAAAGAGTGAACGACAAAGTGCCTCGGTCCAACTTCCACAACCTGCCTCTGGTACCTCATTGAGAGTTAAGGCTGTTGTTTATGACTCACTTGGAGCTGCCTCTGAATCAGAAACCACTGTAACCATTACTAAACTAAGTGCAGCTGCTGCCACAAGCGCATTGTCAGTCATTGCATCTGGTAAGGATACTGTTACCTTGGCAGCTGCTTCCTCTGTCATGTCGGTCATTGGTTCAATAGATAATCCATCAGAAGAACAAAAAGCTGCTATTCAACAAGCTGCTTCCTCAATTACAGAAGCCTTCTTGAATCAACAAGCCAAGGCTGAGGCTGTCACTTCAGTTTCGTCTGCTTCTGCTGAAAATAGTTTGTCATTTACTGCCTCTGTTTCTGCTTCTGTTGCTAAAGGTCTTGTTAGTGATTCTACGACTTCTAAGGTCGTAGAGAATTTGGCCAAGACGACTTCAGCAGTTGTCAAGAGCTCATCTGCCAGTTTGTCCAATTCTGCTATTGAAGGCACAACCAGTACTGCAAACAATTTCCTTGATTACATTGTGAAGAAAGGTGTGACCAAGAGAGTATTCAGTAATGCTGATATCGCAAACTTGGATAAAGTATTTGCTAGTGTTGCCACATTAAAGACTAAGGACTCTGTTCCTGATGGTCCAGCTGCCACAGTAACAGCTAATGGAGTCACCACAGTTTCACGAAAGGTCAATATTGTGACATTGAACAATTTGGTTCAAACAACAACAGGAAAGAATCAAATAATGTTCAAGAGTGGTGTTTCTGCTCTCTCAGAACTAGCCAATACCAAGTCTGTTCACCTTGTTGTCAAAACTGCCTCCTCTACAGCAATTTCAAATGCTGTCACCAAGTCTATGGAATTCTCCCTTAGCAATGATACAAGTGTAATATCAGTTTCCTCCAATTCTGTTATTGCTGATTTGGTATTTGAAACAAAGGGTTTGTCTAGTAGATCTGTTGCAGGAACAATTACCTCTTGTAAGAAGATTGATCCAACAACTAGTAATCTTTTAGATGTTGGATGCACAGTTGTTTTGGGAACTGATGGTACAGTCACTGCTTCAGTCAAAAGCACCGGAATTTACGTTTTGATCCAATCTACTACGACAGATCCAATATCTAGTACCAAGATTAGTATGGCTCCAGCTGTTAACTTGTCTTGTTTAATTTCTTTCTTGTTAGCTATTGTTGTGTTTTACCAATATTAATAAATAATTCTTGTTTCCATTAATTTTCAATAATCTGGCAGAATAATAAATTGTTAATTTTTGTTTAATGAACGACAGCAAAGGAACGAAATTTGGTGATTTTAAAATCGTTTCATATTAAATTTATTAACCTCTTTACTTGTAGATAATCATTCTTCACTGCCTTGTAACTTGTTGAGAATTAATTAAATAATTCACAAGAGTTTGTTGAATACTTTACTTCATAATACTCCGGAATGAGGTTACTTCATACATTGCCGCAAAATTCTGTCCTTGAAATGACTAGGTGGGTGTGCTTCTCTCATCATTCACATCAACCTAAAACTCCTACATAGATCTTCATAATCAAAAAATGTTCAAAGCCACATCCCATATTAATAGAAAGAGTACTTTATCATTTCCAAAATCCTTTTCTCCTTCAACAAAATGTACTTGTTTGTTATTTTTAAATTTTTGTTAATAATTTGTAATTCGTAACGGCTAGTTAGGACTTGAATAATCTATTAATACTTGATCAAGTCATTAAAAAAATGAATGAAAAATACAAACTCTACTGTGATGGCGCTCATGGAGCCAATTTACGTGGTGTAGACAACTCGCAAGTATTTCCCTCCATTGTATTGCGAAAGGATTCCTTTGTTTCTGGGGTTTTGGATGATCAGATCGGAGAACATGATGAATTACCACTCTCTATGGTTTGTTCGGGTGGTGAATCTAAACCCTATTCATTGTACTTTTTTGAAGGAAGTGAATCGAGGTGGTTTTTCATGGAAAAGAAATATGTTTTTGAAGTATTGTTCAATCAGATGACACCTAGAGCAGAACCTTATTGGTCACGATTGATGAAGAGAGTAGTCTTGCTGAATAATAATGGACTATTGTTTGAAATGATGGATGGAAGATTGTATCAGTTTGATGTCAAGACTGGATCGCTGTCTTGCTTCTTTATTGAGATCTTCACAAATTAGAGTGATTGGAAGTGGACTAATGTCGAACATAATAATGGTTCAAACTACTGAGGGGAAAATTATTAAGAAACAGTTTAATGTAGATCCTAAAGAAGTTGTAATTAATGATCCATCACCAGTCAAGCTATTTTCATGTTTTTGCAGAGATTTACAAATTATTGTTTTGGAAAATAACAAATTCTACATTATTAAGGATGGCGCCACACAGGATTCCCATTATGGATTTGCATCTTATGAACTTGGAGTTACTGTTGAGGTTGCTACTCCACTCTTTAATAGTGGAATCAAGAAGGTTTCATCAGGTTATGGACATTGTGCGGTTCTATTAGAAAACGGACAGGTATTTACAAGAGGACTCAACAATTACAATCAATGTGCAAATGGAGATGTTATAGATATAGAAGGTACCTTTTGTGAAGTCAAAGTAACAGGAGTTCTTGATATTGAATGTGGAAGTATTTGTACTGCTCTCCGAACACCTACTCATTTTATATTTTACGGATCTGTAAAAGATGATTTGGACAAGGTAGGATATTTTCATAAGGTAGAATATGAAGATCAACAATTTTCACTTGGTCCTTGGCATGCCTTAATATTTAGAAACAAGTTCACCAAACAAGTTGGAAAGAGTGAGATTTACTTTATCAAAAATCTCAAATCATTTTCACTGAATGCTTCTCCATTTTCTGATGCTTTATTTTCATTCAAATAGATGGGACCAAACAAATGTGAATTGCTGCCGCGTTTGACAATATTGAAATGGAAATGTACAAATATGTGAAGAAAATTGGCCAATTTAAAGAACTTTATTGAAAAACTTGTAAATTCAATCTTATCCAAATTGTTTGGGTTGTTTACTATTAAGGAGACTCTTTTAACTGCTGTGGATAAAGATTTACATCCTTCAAAGCAGGTTCCAGGCTGTTTCACCATTAAGGTGGTTCAGCCCCTGAGCTTTAATACCCAATTGTCTAAATATTATTTGAACCACTGGCCGCTTAAATTCGAAATTTGATCATTTATTGATCAACCACAAGTTTCACTTTCCAAATAGATTAAATTCAAAGGTGATAAATAAATGGTCACGAAGCAAGCTTTTCTAAACAACAAACTTACTGAACCAACAATCAATAGATTCGTTGCCTTCACCGTTCATACAGTCAAAGACTGTAGCGGGATTGTCGCCATATTCCTGGCAGGCTTCCCGTCCAAATTAATAATCGAAATGTAGCTTAATAGAGCAAGAGCTGGAATGGATACGTTGTTTATTGCTTGGATTAATTTATTTTATTTTAGTTTATTTCAAATTCTAAGCTGCAGGATGAGCAAGTTGACAACTTGGAAAAGTGAGATGATTTCACAAGATAATTTAAAATTAAAAAAAATCTTTAAAATGTTAAATTCTTTCAACAAGAGAGAAAGAGAATATTCTGATGAAGAGGATGATACAACAGTAGAAGGAAACAAGGATGACCAAGCTGATGAACCTACCAGTGGCCCAACTCACTTTTTTATGCCAGAAAGTCCAACCTATGAACAAGCTATTCCGAAAAAGAAAAGCTAATGGACGATGTTAATATTGATATTGAAAACAAAGTACAATTACCTGAAGCAGAGA